GTGGGCGACACGCCGAAAAAAAAACCCCCGAGATCACCCGCCCCACGCCACAACAACGCCAAGCCATCCTTTGGACTATTTTGTACGCCCTGCCGCCATCGCGCAAAATTTGCGACAACAGCCCCGCTGGCGCAGGATCCCCGCTGCCGGGGCTAAGGGGACGACCCCCATTCGCCAAGAGAAAACAAGCAAAGTACTTACAACAACTATTTTTTTGAATGGTAGTTATCGACGAGAAGGATAGCAAGTCCGAACTGAAAATAATGTATTAGCTATCGAAGCCGTGGTTCAAAACAACAACCGAATCGGTAATGAAAGAAAACAAGCACAATGATTCACCTGCGCAACCATCGAATTGCGCTCCCTTCGTTTCGCCCTCCCTAGTGCCAAGCTGCTCTGCGTCTCTTTTTATCTCGACTTCGAAATTACAATGGGCAGGAAAAGATGTGCTTTTCTGTGTCGATGGTCGCTGATGCAGCAGTGAAAGCAGCAACTCCTTCTCTTAACGAGTCATGACGGGAACCGTTAATTCATTCCAGTCTATCCCCTCCCTCTTTGTCCTTCTTAGTTTAGCATTACGTCACAACTGTGCAGCCCGTCCACGGTCAGAAACCACAAAATTTACATTGCAAAATTTAGCCAGTGAACACTGGGAACATCTCTTGCTTCTTTTACTTTGTTTGCTACGTTGTGTATCCGATTCTTTACGTGCACGCCGTGCAGCAGTATAACGTGTTGAATGATTTGCGTGTGCACAATTAGTTTTGTCTCTTTCTGGGAGCAGCAGAAACCCTCTTTTTTCTTTGCTCCTTGTTACTCATCTGCTTGAGACGACATACAAGCTCACTCTTATTCAAAAATTGGTTAGCTTTTTTTTTTACATCCACCAACGTTGTCAGTTGTGATTATTATTATTAAAACAGAATGGCTGACACTCAAAGTCCTGAGTATTCTGACCTTGAGAGAGAGGAAAGCATGGTCGAAGAACTTCGAGACACGCAGATACGCGTCGCTAGCGACGATGAGGACTACAGCTCCGACAGCTCTGAGGAAAGCATTACCACGCACGCAGACGGCAATGAAACGCCACAGCAGCGCGCTGCGAATCAACGAGCTGGGCGGAACCGGCCTTCCGGTTCGGAACCGTTACGCATGCTTCGCGAAACGGCGTTTCCGGTTGAGTACCGCTTTGTTCAAACGTTAACCGAGGAGACTCCGACATCCGAGTTTAGCTCCGTAAACGAAGAAAAGCGCATGGGCCTGAAGTCGCTGGGTGGGCTTGTCAAATATAGCTCTGCGGATCTGTTGACACGGGCGTGGTACCTCTGTCCGACCGAGTTGAAGACGCGCGAGTACCCGCTTTACTCGAAGTTGCCCAAATGTCCTGATGTGATGGAAACTCGCTTCATTGATACGGACGAAATTTCACATTTCATGTGCACAATAGCACTTCAGCTGGGCGAGCGATACCACCGCGTCACACCTGTGTACCTGCGGTCGCTGCTTGTGCAGGCGGTAGTTCGTGATGAAATTGCAGGCGCAAATCAAGGTTTCTGCAACAGCAAGCCGTATAGTGATGCGTTGCTGGCGCCGATGTGGGAGGACATTCCCGCTCGCGAAAACGGCATCGGCGATTTGTCCGAGGAAGATGAGAGCGACGACAACGAGTTCAACGAAATGTTGGAGTCTGAACCCGCTGTCAACGCGTTCGATTTCAGTGTCGCTCTTGTGCTTCCTGTCGTTGCGCAAAGTGTTGCAGCGGAAAGCCTGCGTCTACTGCATTCCTTGGTGAACCGGTGTTTGGCATCGCCATCCGATGCGGCCGTTCTGCGTTCATGGGGCGTGAGGCGAATTGTACTGATGGTGCTACGTCACATGTATCAACATTCGGGTGACGGTGAAAATAACAGGTGGATTGCCAGAGCCATTTCGCTGCTCTCCAAAATTTCCTTCACCTCTGGAGACACAAAAGGGCTGCTCGCGCTTCTGCGTTGGAGCCTGCTGCATCGCAGCGTCGTGGAGACGCTGACCATGCGCAACGTCCACAGTGTCGTGCAGCGTATTGAGGAGAAAACAGCTTTCCGAGTTCGTCTTTCAATTCCTGTGGTGCCCTCGAAGGAGCAGACTATTTCGCTTCTCCATTCTATCGGCAGCACTCCGCCATTTGTGAAGGGGTTGTGCGTTTTCATGGAAGAAGATGCCGCCCGCTGCATTGTCTTCACGGAAAATCGCTCCTTCAAGGTAGCGTTGACCCCGCCGTTCGAAGTTATCTGCTGGAGCAGTAGCGCACCGGATTCGTGCAGGGGCGTCTACGTCGAAGAAGACATGTCTGTTTGCGTTCTGGGCGACAACGGCAAGGTGTTTTTTATCGACAAAGATACCTTGATGGTGACCAAAACGCTCACGCCACCAGTGTCGTCTGTATCGTCTAGAGACTTTCCGTTATACATCGGGAACGAAGAGTACATCACACCACACTTCCTTGCCGGCGCCTCCACTGATAAACAGGCGTGCTTTACGGGAGACGAAATCAATGGGAGCTTGCTACCGAGCACCATCACATTGCCACGCACGTGCGACTCGATGAGCGTGCAGTTCTATCTCTGTCCTGTCATCACTGGAACCGTGAGTGAGATGAAAATACTGCAGCTCAGCTCCGGCAGTAAGAACTGGCTCACCGCAACTGTATGCTTGAACCCTTTGAACTCCACGATGCTTCTCACCTTTTGCCACGGCCAGGACACGGTGGCCGAAGTGCGCGAGACGCTGAAGTCCGAGTGGGCCCTGTGGAGCGCCACGCTAACGGCAGCAAACGACACCGCGTCGTGGACAGTGTTTAAAAATGGAGTCCCATGCGAGGCGCGAAGCCAAAGCGGTACCCTGACGCAGCCATCCGTAAGCATCACACCGACGCTGTTCAGGGGTCGAATAAATGCATACGTTTCTACGCTGCAGTTGTGGAGCCGCGCACAGAACATCGAAAGCATGCGCAACACGGCGCTGGAGCACCCGTCGGAGAACAAATCACAGTTTCTCGTCTTCTCCTTCCTCATGGACGAAGGTCTGGGATGCAGTCTGCACAGCCCTCAAACCGGTTATGTGTGGCAAGGCGCCGGATTGCGTTGGGATTGTCCACCGAGACCGTTCCCTGCAACTCGTCACGCCTCGCGGCGGGTGCAGTGGTGGCCATCCGGTGAGTACTACGTGGTTACGAACACATTCGAGTACGCGGTGATTGAACCGCAGTCAACCACATGGGTCGACCGCGACGGGCGCGTTGTCGAGCAGGACGACGGTCTCTTCTCTGTCAACGAGCGACCGTTTTACAACATCAGCGACGGCTGCTTCTACCTCTCAACGCAAGACACCGTCGGCATCTACTCGGTGAAGTCCAACTCGCCACCGGCGGCCTATCTCAAGCATCTTCCGTCCTTGACAGCCGGCAAACAATGTTGTGCACGCATGCTTGAGTGCGTGCGCACGCGCGCCTCGATTACCGCGCAGCAGTACTTGGAATACCTGGTACATCGCTCAAACTTGTATTTACTGACGTTCAGTGACGAGCACGACGGTATAGGGCCGATCGATTTGTCGTCAAGCCTGCGCGAGAATCTCACCGTTGTCGGCCGCCTCCTCGACATGACCGAATACCTCGTGTCCGGGATCGAGCGTGGCTCACAGGAATGTCTCTCTGCTGAGCTTATTTTATGTTTCATTGGGCGGCTGCTGAACATCCACGTGAAGCAATTCGAGCGTCAGTGTCCTGGCCAGGTTGTACGTGTTGTGGTGGACGTGCACAAGCGCCTACAGGAACTGAACAGCCAGACGAGGCAAAACGAATTCTTGCACGAAGCCGCAAGCGTGTTCGGTGAGCTGAACAAGACGGTTCTAGCGGGCTGCGTGAGCCACGACTTTCAGATGAAGCTCATCAACGAGAGTGCCAGCTTGAAGGACGTCCGACAACTTTTGATGCCCGAGAATTTGGCGCAGTTTGTGGCCTCCGTGATACAAAAGGATATGAAGAAAATGTTCATGGCGTTTCTACATCGGCTGAAGGAGGAGTGTCAGGAAGAGGCAGTATGCGTTTTTGAGAAGAAGCCGCGCCAGATTGCTGCATCGGAGGCGATGCTGAGCACCCTGCTCGGTATGCTGTCGCAGCAGGAGTACTCGCAGTGGCACTTGGTCGCAGCGGCCCTCATCAGCTCCTTGTGCAAGTGGATCATGCGCTGTTTCGAGGAGAAATTCGCATCCGACGCCGAGCGTTTTGCGAACGTGGATGTTTTGAAGGGAACATCTATTGGTATTGTCCTCTTTCCGGTCGTACATTACATGTGCGACATCCAGCTGAACTCTACCATCGCCCCTGACGCGCTGCGGGCTCTCAACGACGCGCGCAAGTGTTTAGCGCGGTACAGTCTGTCCACCGGTAAAGAAGACAACGAGATCGTGTCCTTTACAGAGACGCACTACGTAGTGTCGCCGCCGCAGCTGACCGCCCCATTCACGGCGAACCTGTCCTTGCAATATGCCAAAAGCATAAAGGTGGAATTTGCGGACTCGCCCGAAACGGGCGAGCGCGCTTCCGGTCGCACCACCGTCTCCCTCATCACCAACAACTGCCTCGCCGACGTAGAGGTTCTCAACCCAGGCCAGCAGGCCGTCTTCCAAGAGGGTGCACGGATCTCCATCGTGTGCGGTGCCGATGCATCGCAGCAGACTCCTGTTTCAGGGGTGTCACTCATCGTGCACACAGCCGTGGAGCTGACGACGGAGAAGACGGACTGGATGCGCGATATTTGCCTGGCCCTCAGCTCCATCATTATCCGGGTCACGCAGCTTAACTTGCACGACACTTCCCCCTCCGGCAGCACACTGGGTGAAGAGTCCTTCCTGCGTGGCGGTCTTTCCACGGACGTGGAGAAGCGCAACCGAATCGTGCCTATCGCCGACGGCAAGGAGGAGTGCGCGGAGCTTCACACGCAGCTGTGCGCCGCCGCGGAGAAGTCGGATGAGGTATTGGCTTCCATTTGGACAGCTGTGTATGAGCGAAGCCGCATTCCGTACGCCGGCCGCCTGGAGAGCATCATGCGGTGGGCAACCTGCGCACTGGCGTGGCACACACTGTCGTTTCCAACGGAGGAGCCACAGACGGTGGAGAGGCTGTTGGTCGGCGCGGTCGAGAAACTGAAGCAAAAGATCTTTTTGTTGCTGGAGGCGCTGCAGCAGGGACGCGAGGAGGCCATCGTTGAGCGTGCGCGGTTTCTCCTGCACGACGTTACACCGCGCATCTTTGGCGAGTCACAGCTCGCCAACAACCAGCACACGGAGGAGCCCGTGACGGCGGAGACTGATCGCGGGTCGCGGCAGCAGTCGCGGCTGATGTACTCCCTGGGCCACCGCAGTCGAGCTGCAATGGCGAGCTTTCCGACGTTCACGGCGCAGACGCTGGACTTATCGAGTAACCACCGTGGCTCCCTCGTGAGCACGCGCAAAACGGCGACGCGGATGGCGGACGCCTCCCCAGTAAACATCTTCAGCAAAGCTGCGAAGAGCGAAGAGGACGGGATGCCGAACAAGCTTATTTATTTCATGATTAATGGGATGAACAAGTCGACGGAGGAGATACTGAAGGACATGGTACTCAAGACCCAGCAGACAGTGTACCAGACCGCCGCGTACCAGCTGCAGGATGACCTGTGCAAATCCTTCGCGCACGACCGCGAGATGCTCGCGTCGATTCTCACGACACACCTGCACTACCGTCTGGATGCCTCTCAAGCGAAACTGGTGACGGTAGGCGAGGGCAGCGACGCGGCGGAGGTAACGAAAGCGGGCTTTAGCCACCACTACACGGAGCAGATGGTCGGGTGCGGAATGCTGCGCGAGGTGGAGTTGCAGAAGGCGGTGTGCTCCTTCGTGCAGAGCTGTCTGCGGGCCCTGCTGTTAAAGCTGGACGACACACAAAACTTCCCCTACGCGGAGGCGGTGTACATGTGTGCGACGCTGTGCCACCCTTGGGACGGCGTTGACATGTCCGTTCTCCAGCCACGTGAGATCTTTGCCCTTTTGAAAAAGCTGTTCACGACCGCGTACGGCCTACGCCTGGACTCCACAAGCGGCGACGCTGAGAAGTACTACGAGAGCCACGGCCTGTTTGACCTGGCGCATCGGTGTCTCGTCACGCCCAACGCGATGCTGCAGACCTCGGTAGAAGGCGTGCACGTGGTGCAGAGCGAGGTGCAGGGACTGCACGTAGAGAACGTCAACATCGTCTTCAGCGCTCGCACGCACTGGAAGGCACACGGGCCCAACACGAAAATACCAGCAAAATCGGAAGAGGTGGACTACTACGCCAATTACGGCATCCCATGCGTGATTAGCGAGTTTCCTGACGTTCAGTACTTCGAGGTGACGCTGGATTTCGCGCTGCACCCAGACAATGCGGTGCTGCAGATGGGTCTCAGTCTTGTCCCGCTGTCCCCGCTCGATCCGGTGCGCGCGGACTACGTGCTTTCGCTTGCGTCCAACGGCCGCGCCCATCACCCTGAGAAGCAAGACTGCCAGCTGTCGGACCCATGGAAGGTGGGGGACGTAATCGGGTGTGGGCTCATGGCCCCGTCGAACAGCGTCTTCTTCACGCAGAACGGCAAGTTTCTCGGCGTCGTGGCGGAGATGTCGTCCCTGTCGAGCGCCATTCCTTTTGTCAGCGTACAGGGCGATGACACCTTGATGAAGGTCATCGTCAACTTTGGCGAGGAACAACCTTTTAAGTTCGACCTCGCCTCCATGCACTGCAGCAGTCGCCATCGTTATCTTACGCCGGCAACCGTGTGCGACACCGTCCTCATCACCACCGACTACCTCGTTACGATGTGCTACAAAGACCTCTCCTGCGACAACACGACCTCTGCGACGAACGGGGAGGCAATCAGCGGACTCTTGGAGAAGGCGACCGCGTTCCTCAGCACCGCGGCGACGTCGCTGATGGCGAAGCTGAACGCGTACCCTGCCGGTCAAAACACCCGCATTGAACTGATTGTGGTGCTGCTTTCGCGCATTATGCACTGCGTGTCTGTCGTCATTGAGTGCTTCCGGTATGACTCTGTGACGCCTCGCACGCACGCGATGGTGTTACAGCTGTGTGCAGTGATGCTTACGCGATGCCGTGACAAGTGGGTGAAGGTGCGGGCGTCGCACTGTTTATCGATGCTGTGCAAGATGCTTCGACCTGATTACCTCGTGGATGCGTCGGAGTCCTTGCGCGGTATCGTCTCGTCGGAGGACATCGTGCAACAGCTGGTGGACCTCGCCCGCGTCAAGCTCATCAAAGAAGTCGAAGCACCTATGCAGCCGCCGCGCTGGGTGGGCGACACGACTGTGGTGAAGGGCAAGGGCACATTCTTTGGCTCCGTGCCGTTACCGAAGAAAGGCACCCACCTCGTCGGATTCCGCATCAAGCGTCGGCAGCAACAAGTGCAAGGTCCAGGTGCACCGCTTGGGGGATGCTACTACCTCGGCTTGGCGCACGGCCAGCCATCCATTCCTAACATGGGAAATCTGATCAGCCGCAACGACGTCTTCGTGCTTCAAGACACGGACGACCAAGATCAGGTTGCACACTTGCTGTTGCGACGCCACTGCATTCCGCGCAACAATCACCGGCGAGTGTACGGCAACGACGAAGTGGTGTGGGTGGAGTTCAACGCCGACTACGGTGAGATCACGTTCTACCGCGAAAATATGGTGATGATCGGGCTCGCGTTTGCCAACATTGCGCAGGTGGATGACCTGTACCCCATTGCGTTTCTCTTCAACGATGACGCCTCGTGCGAGATTATCCCGCCGCCGTCCATCTCCGACGAGTCGGTGGAGCACTGGACGGAAAGTCTGCGGCGTAGCACGGCCATCGACTCACTGCAGGAGTTGCACCTGGTGCCAGGCTTCTCGCCTGTTATCTCGCTCATGGTGCAGCGTTCGATCTCGCAGTTGGACCGCGGCCTTGACGCCTGCCTCGTTGCGCTCGGTGTTCTCGGTGGCGAGCGCAGCTACCTCTACTGCCAGCACGACACGTTCGGCATGGTCGTCGTGCACGCCATCGCCGAAGTCACCGGAAAAGTGGTGGTGTACCTCGCAAGCGATGAAGACCGGCGACTCTTCACGGTGCAGCCGCACGGGTTGAAGCCGTCGTTTATCCAGACGCCACTGTACCAGAGCGCGTCGCCCGACGCGCACAACTGCGCCTCGCTTCTGTCAAACGAGCTGTACAAGATCCTCTACGAAGCCTCGGTGGTCGCTCCGTTGCTGCACAACGAGGAGGAGCAGCGCCGCGAGGTGGAGCGGCTCTACCAGGAGTCTCTGAGCCGCTCTACCGCGATGAATCTCATCGGCGTCCTAACGGAACAGCAGCAGGAGGTGAAACAAAGTGCGGCGGTGGTAGGCAACGCAAGCGCGGTGGACATGGGCTCGACGAACTTGCCGTACCAGCGGTCGAGCACCGATGTCATCTTCACTGAACGGACGGTGGCGATAGATTTGCATTGCTCCACCAAGACGCTTTATACACCAAACCCGTCGATCGCCGTCACCACGGCAGAAGGGTGCTCCGTGGTGCGGGGAGACGTTCAGATGGACATGCGCTTCACCCTGGCGGTGTCCATCACGCAGACATCGCCGAACGACCTGATGTACGTCGGCTTCACCACGACGCAAATGCGCTGGCCGGAGACGCAGGACGAGGTCGCCAACTGGGACGACGCGTGGGCACTGTGCAACCGCGACTCTGCCGCGACGAACAGCGTGAACTGCTGCATGGAGCCTGGCATCATTTTTGGCGCAGCAGAGAAGCTTTTCCAGAGCGGAGATGTGCTCCTGATGCGTGTGAACCGACAGGAGAGGACGATCGCGTTTACGCGCCTGCGTAGTGGTGAGCAGACGGATCTGGGCGTCTTGTTTGAGGGCGTCCCACTCTCGTGCGACCTGCGGCCGATGGTGGTGTGTGGTGAGGAGACGATAGTGGTGTTCTCCACCCTCAATTCGTGTCTCTTCCCAGCGCGCGTAACGTACCCGATCAGCAACTTCAACAATCCGTCAAAAGATCGCGTCACCTGCAGTTCGTGCTTGCGCCGGCTAAGCCCGCCGTGGTACGGCAGCGAGGACAACATCGCCTTGTGTGAGATGTGCTTCAGCTCGTGGAAGCGGCCCAAGGACATGTTCTTCGCGGTCAGCGCGGCCTCCCGCGCCATACCAGAGTACCTTGTATCCGTCCATTGCCCCGAAACTCTTCGGGTCGGCGAGTACGTCGAGTTTGAGGAGAACGCCGCTCTGGGCTGGTCGGACATACGCAGCGTCAACGCGGAGATTCTGGACGGGACCTGCATCGCCCTCCACGACGAGTGCTTCGCCTTCAGCGAAGAGCTCTCCCAGTTTGGGCCCCGACGAGTGGACATTAAGCTCTGTCATACCACTGGCGTGCTCGGCCACCCCTTCAGCGGGATGCACTCCTTCACGCCTCTTTGGAGAGATGGACAGCAGATCCGCACCACCTGCACCCTTCGCGGCGACTGCGTCGCTGTCAGCGCCACTCTGCTCCCGATGCGCACTAAGTCGTTCTTGAGCCTCCACATTGGAAGCAACACGCACAACACACTCTTCTCCATGACAGAGGTGTTTGTGGGTGTGACAAATCTGGCCGACACGTCGAGGCCTATGAGCCGCGGAGACTTGGAGCAGCTATGCGGGGCGAAGAACGCATGGGGGGCGTGGTGCGACACGAGCGAGAAGGTGAGCGGCAACGGGGACGTGTTCATTTTGGTGGACTGTCTGAACAACTGCATTTTTCTCAGCTCCACTTTGAGCGGGCTGTATAGCAAGCCGTTCGTCATATCGGGCAGCATTTCAGCGGACGCCGACGAGGATAATCTACGGCTTCTTGTCTTCTCGCATGACCCGTGCAGCGTGCACTCGCGTGAGGGTCTTGTGTCGTACAACGAGTGCGTGGAGCCCAGCTTCGCGCCAGTCGCCATCGGCCTTTTTCCAGAAAGCAGCGACGAGCCGTCGGTGGACACCTTCAACGAGGCCATTGTGCTTATGGACACGGTGGAGCGCACCCAGGCATACACCAAGACGGAGTGGAGGTACACCCCGCACGCGGACAAGTTGGACAACGGGACGCTGTTTTACATCGGCGACACCGTGACATTCTTCCACGACGGAGAAGTCATCCGCGTCTACATCCAAGGCATACCCATGGCAAGCCTGGAGCTCAAAGACGATCAGCGCTGCGAACGCCTCCGTATCGTAGCGTACCTCTCCACGCGTGGCACGACGGCGACGATTGTGCCTCCGTTGTACGGAACATCGCATCTCGGCAAGGTGACCCGTGTCTGTGGCCCGGACGTGGCGGTGGTGGAGATGGTGTCGGAGGGTGGCAAAAGCGAGCGCTTGGCTGTTCATCGCTCTGCAGTGCGCTTCTGCGCCATGGTGGCCTCCGCGCTGGACGAGCAGTCGGGCCTGCGTGACGGCGACCCACTGGCGTTCAAAATCGGTGGGCTGCAAATATCAAAGCGCGGCACCGTCGCCAGCGTGCAGGGCGCCGTCGTCAACGTGTGCGAAAGCAGCGACAAGCGCAACCTTCTTTCCATCAACATGAACCAGTGCTTTTTGCTGCGCAACGAAGGCAAGCAACGGTGCCGCAATGCCTCGTACCCTCTCATCTCACCGCCCACCAGCTCCATCACACGAGTATTTGAGGTCGGCAAGAAGAAGTTTCGCTTGCAGAGCCGCGGCTCCTACAACGGCATCATGTTCGACTGCAAAACGTGCGAGACGATCGAGATCATTGGCCTCTCGGTGCTGACGCGTGTGACGGGCTGCCACCAGGTGCAGGCGTATTTCCGCAAGGGCAGCAGCACCAACCACGAGCGCGATGGGCGGTCGTGGACCATGGTTTTTGAGGACATGATCGATATGACGGCAGACCATCAATTCAGCATTCCCCTGGCGCCAATCATCGTCGAAGGTAACACGACGTTCGCCTTCTACATTAACACCTCGCACAACTGTGGTGTCGGCTTCTACTGCGAAGAGGACGGGTGCGTCGGCGAGATCGGACACGAGCTCGACACAGACGGCACGCTCTCCGTTTGTCTGGGCCGCAAGAGCGGCAGCAGCGACCCGTTCACGGAGTTCAGCATGTCGCCTCGCGGGTTCTGCGGGACGATCCAGTACAAGCAGAACCACGGCTCCTCTTTGCCCTCTATTGAGGGCAAGCTGCTCGCGAGCTCCGCCATGGACGCCAACCTGCGCCACTGCAGCGATTCGCTGCGGCTCATCTGCCGGCCTCCTGCTACGACGAAGGATATCGCTGTCACGTTTCGCGTCCGCGTCTTGTCACTGGCGGTCCGCATCATTTCCTTCTCCCTCCCTGTGCTGCTGCTGAACCCGTCGGCGAACGCCACGCAGGGCATCTCGCACTGCTCCGTCTCGATGTTCTATACCCAGGAAGAGCGCGTTGAGTGGCAGTGGATTTGGAACTCGCGCTTTTTGGTCGAGGACGGCCACGCATCGGAGGTGACGCTCGATCCGGCAAACTTGTGTATTGAACAAGGCACCTACACCTTTCGCATTCTGCTGAAGAACATCGAGAGCGACGGCGTCGGTGCCCCACCACATCTGTGCCTGCTGAGCAGCAGCGACCCAACCTATGAACGCAAGAACGGCCTCATTGCGGTTGACGGCTTCTTCGGTGACGTCACGTGCGAGGCGAATACGCCAGTCTTGGAGGGAAAGCTGCACACGATGGTCACCGGCGCGCACCTGAACCAGAGCAACTCAGCGTCGTACAACGGTATCATGTTCGACCTACGCAGCAAGAAGGAAGTTACGCTGGAGGAGGTCTTTTGCATCTCGCAGACGACATCTGATCGGGTCACTGTGCGCGTCTTCTGGAAAGAAGGCAGCATGGAAGGGGCTGAGAAGGCACCGCACCAGTGGCGCGAGGTGCTGACGAAGGAGGTGGCGGTGGTGGATAAGCACCCCTTTTCTGCTGGGCCGCTGATGCTGCGGATGCGCGCGAATCAAGTCTACTCTATTTTCATCAACACGTCTTCCAGCTGCGGCGTGCGCTTCTACAACAGCAGCGACGGGCACGTCGGCGACATTCGCGACGAGTTCGACAGCGACGGCATTCTGTCCATCTTTGTGGGACGAAAAAGCGAGTCATCATCGCCATTCGTGGAACTACCGCTAGAACCGCGCGCGTTTCGTGGGCGAATCACGTACCGCACCTACGCTTTGCAGAACACTGAGTCGACCGAGTGTGCCATCTTCCCGTACGTCCGAGGGTTTCTCGTCACCCGGATGCTGGTAGCTCTCATGTCCTACGTCGAACTGTCCGGCACCAACTTGTCCCCCAGCTTCTCGTTCGAAAGGCTGCTGAAGACGATTTCGCTCCTGGCAGCGTCGCCGATGGAGTCGCTGGGTGATCTGACCGGCGCCGAAAACGTGCTCGCGACGCTCATCCGCCGGTCAAGCGAGATCCACAGCACCATCGTGACGCTTCCCATCTCCGGCAACCAAATCTCGCTCATCGCACCGTTGGCCAAAGGCGACGTGGCACTGTTGACAGAAACGCAGAGCGCTGACCCGAATACGCTCGTCCGCCTGCGTACGCACGTGCAGCCCGACGGCACGGCGATGGTGCACAACCTCGATGAGATGCAGCCGTTCCGCGTGCCCGCTAAGCGGCTGCTGCCTGTAGTGAAGTGCATCGCATGCGGAGGCGTCTACGCGTACGGCGTGTGCGCCGCCTCGGGTGCTGAGCACATCCCGCTGGTGTCTGAAGACGCTCGTGCCGTTGAAATCGTCGCGAATGGGCTGCACGAGGCCGGACGGGTGGACACCGTGCAAGAGGCCATAGAAGCCGCCGTGACAGCTGTCGGAAGTGCGCGGCGGCGCGACGGGATGGTGGTGGTGGCCGACGTTGCCTCGAAAGCAAAGGCGGAGGTGCGAGTTCGCGTCGAGCCCGGCGGCGTCGCGTTTATGATTCCTGTCTCGCTCTTTCTCAGCGAGGAGGAGTACAGCGAGGGTAGCGGGACGCTGTGTCCATTTGTGTACCACCATGTCGCCGGCGCCGCCGTGTCGCTGCGTCTATCGACGACAAATGACTTTTTCTCGATCCTATTCATGACCGACGGCGCCACCCACAGCACCGACGCGACAGCGGCAGCTGCGCCGGCGCGTTTCTTGCACCTGCGGCTCTGCGGTGGCGACGACGACGCACGCGAGACGCTCACGCAGGATGACGTGCCGTTCATGATGTGCCGCGGCGGCGAGTCATGCGTGTCGCTGGTCGACAGCGTCCACGCAGGCTACGCCGCCAGCTTGCAGCGCAACAGCGTGGTGTCGCTGTTCCTTCAGATTGAGGCAAGCCCCCCGTTTCCGCTTACGCCGCCCGTGGTCGCGAAGGTGGATTGCTGGATGTGGGAGGGAAATTCGGTCGAGACGCAGCTCAGCTCGACCAACGCGTCGTATCTTCAGCACGTGTTCTCTGCAACGGGGGTGGCTGCCGGCTGGCCGCACTTTTCTGCCTTTATGGTCACCGCCAAAGGGAAAGAGACGACCATTTTCCTGGAGCTTCATGTGGCGGAGGTGTATCGACGCACCCTGTCGTCGTCAGGAATGATGAGTCGCGTTGCCCCGCTCACCTCCACCGTGCGGATCCGCAAGCCGTTTAACGTGCAGAGCGACGAGGTGCTGACGCTGCGCGTAACGACGGAAGGCGACTTCTTCCTCTACGACACCAACGACATTGTACGGTGCAGCATCTCGAAAGAGGAGCTCTACGGCGGCAAGCACCAGAAGAAGCTCCACAAGATTGGCTTCGTCAGCGTGGATCCGGAAAAGGCGACGGCGCTGCTGTACGTCCCCGAGAAGGTTCGCCGCAACCCGCGCGTTGCTGTCACGCTGGACCACAAGACAACGTCATCGACGCCGACGTCGCCAACAAAGACGTACAGCCCGTCGTGGGTGAAGTTTGATGCAACACACATCAACGTGACGCGCAACGGGCTGACGGCGAGCTCCGTTAACGAGATGGGCGGCGGTGACGCAGTTCTCGGCACGCCGCTGCCTGCTATCGGCGTCGCGTCTTTTGTCGTGCACATCCACCGCAAGGACTCACAACCAGGCACGCCGCTCGGTTCCGGCTTCTTCGCCGGAGTTGCCCTGACGAGCTTCGCACAGTTCGCTCCCGAGTACACGGCAATTAAGACGAACGTGGGCTCATTGTGGGTTGTGCAGGACGTACAGGACGATGACTCGATGGCGAACCAGGAGCTCCTGCCACCGCTCATGCGATGCTCCTCTGGCCAAAAGGTTCTCTTCTGCGACAGCACCAAAATTGTCTTCATTGTCGACCGTAGCAACGGCACGCTCTCGATTTCGCGCGACAACGAATCGCCGCAAGTCGTTTTTCAAGGCATCCCGCACGGTGCGTCTATCTCTCCCTTTGTGCGCCTCGACCATCCCAACTCGTCGGCCACGCTGGCGCGCTTCTCAAGCGCGGTGGAGTACGCGCGGTTTCACCAGCCGTCGTTGGAGAAGGTGCTATGTTCGCAGCCCATCACTCCGTCACTCCTGCGCCGCTATCCGCTGTTTATGGTTGTCCAAGCGTTCCCTTTTCTGTCAGAAATTGTGCGCCAACTCCCGACCCGGCTAGCGGGTGTGTTGGAGCGTAGTTGGGGTGAGCAGACGACGCGCTCGCGCTTCGAGTATCGGCTGTCGCGGGTTCTGGAGGAACTGACAGAGCTCGGTGCTTTTGCGCGCGCCTCGCCGGAGTTTGATGCCGCCAAGGCGGACGCCATCGTGGACTACCTCACGAAGTGCTCTCAGTGCGAGGTGGTGGTGTTTCCGCCGCGCAGTGACGGCGCTGCTGCTTTGCTTCCGGTGAAGGCGAAAGAGGCAAGCGTGCACATCCGACTGCCCCTGACGTACGAGCTTGTGGGCCTGGTGGCCTCCACCAACATGGTGCGCGTGCTGTACTTTGACGCGGAGTTCGGTGTGGTTGAGCGGACGTTGCACCTCTTCTACACAAGCGACATGCGGTATGTGCTTCACAGTACCAACAGCGTCCTGCCGCACTTATCAGTGATGCGGCAGCACGACATTCTGCCTGCCCTCGACGAGGCAGAGGCGGTGGCCGTCATCGCGGACGGCTGGTTTGATTGCACCCTCGAAGACTACGACGGCGCACTCGATATCAAGGCGCAACAGGAGATCGCATCGTCGCTTGTTTACGCGTTAGAGCACTGGCACTTGCATCAACTGGTCCACGGTCACGTGCAATCCAGCAACCTGTATCTACGCGTCGTGCACGGCGAGGTGGTGCAGTGCTGCCTGTGGGATGTGCATCAGCTGCTGCCGTCGAGCAAGTTTGCCTCGCACGAGCTGCGCGACACCGGCGTGCGCTCGCAGTTCGGCGACCGGTGGGGTTGCTGGCGCATTCTGCACTCCTTTGAGCTGCTGCTGGCGCAGAACCCGCAGATTACGGAATGCGTGGAGCTCATGGTGGACGAGGCGACAAGTATCTCTCGCGCGCTGCAGCTCAGCGAAGCCTTCCAAGACACCTTCAGCGACAACGGCGAGGGACCGACGTTCTCGCTGCGGACCGGATCGCGGCTGCGTGGTGGGTCGGGCTCGTACAATGGGATCATGTTCGACGTCGTGGCGAAGAACAACACCGTGCGCATTACCAAACTCTCCTTCATTCCGGACACGAACACCGTGGCGACGGTGCGGCTCTACACGCGCAACGGCACCTTCATGGGCTACGAACGCGACACGGAGGCGTGGACGAAGCTGGTCGAGGAGGAGCTGGCGCTGAAGGACACGTGGGAGGTGACATTGGAGAACTTCGAGCCCATCACCGTCCCCGCCGGCGCGAGGGTGGGCATCTTCTTGCACACAACAAGTGGCAGTGGTGTTTTGTTCTTCTCGGAGAATGAGGGTCTGCAGGGGCAGACCGGCGACGTGGAGGAGGAGAACGACGACATCGGCATCACCGTCGGCAAGAAAAGCGAGAGCGCAAACCCGTTTGTGGCCGTGCAGAGCCAGAAGCGTTTGCTGAAGGGCAGCATTACGTACACCGTGCTCATGCGCTCCAACGGTCCACGCAGCCGTCTCATATACTCGTCGGAGCCGGAGGTTGGTGAGGGGAAGAACGAGGACCACATTGGCGTGCGCTTGGTGCAAATTGACGAGAGCAAGGAAACGCACCAAGACCCGCAGGTCGCGTCCGTGACTCCTGGCGCCGTCGCCGCTGCAACGCAGGGGAACAACAACGAGGGGTCGACAACAGATCTCTTCACGGCGGAACAGCTGTTTTCACCGACGTCTCGCCTGCAGATCGTCGATCCTTCCGTGACGCGGCGCAGTGCAGAGGAGGAGGTTCTTGCGCTCGTTGAGCCCGACCGCTTTGAGTGGCACCGCGCATCGGAGGTCATTTCAGTGCGTCCAGAGCCGCTGTTAGAGGCGGCTGCGCCACTGGTATGCACGCTGGCGCTGAGCAAACTGCAACGGCGCCGCGCCCTTCTCCAGCAGCACAACGACGGCACTTTTGCGTTCCCGTGCCGCCCGCTGCATTTTACCCCGTTGCCCATCCGTGCCGAGGATGCCGTGGCGACTACGCAGGCGTGGCTCACGCACCCTGCTTTGACCAAAGAGGTCACTCTCATCTCGGAGCCAATCACGACGTCCTGCACTCTCTCCTTCTGGCAAAAAATCGCCGGGGCAGCATCTCTTCGCATCATGGACCACGTTCCCACGAAGGAAGAGTTGCTCGCGAGCGCGCCGATGACGCGCGATTTGCTTGTGGGCACTCGTAGCACTGGTGGCTTTGTACACATCGACGACATGCTGCAGTTTGTTGCATCCGCCCACAACCGCGTTCAGTTTCGGCTGAGAAGTCCTCTGTCGCAGAGCCCTGTCTACGTTGTGGCGGGCCTTCGCAACGTCAGCTGCCGCGATGCGCATCTGTTTGCGTACACAAACGCAGTTGATTCAAAGCTGCTCGTGCCCGCGGCAAACGGCTGCTTCTTCATGGCAGATTCGCCTGGCGCTAGCGTGCGACAAGGCGACGCATCATTGCCGCTCGCTACCACACGGTATTCGTCCGGCTGCTTCGTGGCTCTTGAAAGGAGATGTGGTGCCGACGTTGCCGCCGTTGATGATGACGGTAACGCTGCGGTCTCAGAGTCTGTCGTGCAGCTGCAGTCGTTGATTTCCAGTAAAAGCGAAGTACGGTTTGTGCGGTTGCCGCGAACGGAGACGGAAAGGGAATCTTGTGTGCTGGAGACAATACGTGGCGCCGATGCAGCATCCGGTTCGCCAGTGCGTGGCAACGTGCCCCGCTCGCCGCTACTGGTGGAGTTTCGCGAGCAGGTCAAGTGGAAATCGATGAAGAACTCCGTCGACTTTACGTGCCTCTCCTCATCGCTCTCGATCGTGGGGACGACAAGTGTGAGACAGATAACTGGGGGTGCGAATTGTGCCGGAACGGTGCCATCCCCGCGGTTCACCGTGATGGAGCGGCACCGCGTGCTGCTTCGCTTGCAATTCCCGCGCAGCAGACCCATCGAGCTGCTCCTGGACTGCAAGAGCGGGTCCTCCAACCCTATCCGCATTCTGCACGGCTCGTACACCTCGCTGAGCAGCCGCCTTTTCGACCCAGCCGTTCGTGAGGTCTTCCTGTACCTGGACGTCAACCTGCAGACGCGCGAGGTGACGGCGATCAGCAGCGACGGAACGGTGTGCCACCCTTTCGTGGAAGACAACGCGTACTTTTCGGACATACAGCTCGGTTTCGTGTTACATGCGCCGGCGTCGCAAATCGACGTGGTGGAATGGAGGGTGTGTACTTCGCAGGTGCGCGGTGAGATGAACGCGGTGGCCTTCAGGGATGTGTTGGAGGAGACGAATCTGCCCGCCGTTTCTGCGAACGTCGCCCTCAGCGTTGGAGCTGTGTGCCGCCACTCCCCTCGCGGTTCGCTCTCTGGCAATCGCGAGGTCAACCTTTCCACGGAGCAGCAGATGGAGGTGCTCATGGTGACGTACGCGCGTGTGTTGCTTGAAAAGACGCTTCTGGCGCAGGAGCAGGCGCGCGCAGCGATCCAGTCTCACTTTCTGCGTCTTCTTTCTTTCACGGCGCTTCGCACGCACCACGACATCTCCCGCGTCCTCGACGGCGAGATCAAACATGGCTCCTTCCGGCTGGTGTGTCAGAGCATTTCGCACCTCTGCTTGCCTTTCTTGCTCCAGGTCCCAACCGAGGTGGAGACGAGTGTCAACGTGGTCGCATCCCTGATGCGCAACGATGTGTTTCGCCGCGCCATTTCGAACGCGTTTGGTGCCTCACTCATTCTGGTGCTGCTGCGCACCGCGACCGTCTACACCCGCTCGACGCGACACGCGTCCCTGCACTGTGTGCAAGAGCTCCTGGCGGATGAGCGCGTTCCCCTGCCGTCGCACAAGGTCCTCACAGCACACCTGCGCCCCTTGACGGACATGATGGCGTCGTTGTGCCGCGGCCAGCGCATGGGCTCAGCTGTGGTGCAAACCGGCGTGACATTGATTGCGGACCTCATCGAGCGTTACCAGCGGGAGCGGCCCGCCCACCCCTACCGCGATGCTCCCTCGGAGATTCCGTACAAGCTGGTCATGTGCGCACGCGAGATAGTGCGTGCCATCACCCACGATCCTCCGCTGCCGCTCCCGGCCGCGATGGTGGCTGAGGTGAGCTCCCATCACACCCTGAAATGCGACATTGTGAAGCGGTTCAACGAAGCAGAGAATCGTATGTCCGCGGTCGGCGTGTTCACAGAAGAGGGCCGCGACGGTGACGGTAGCATGTCGTTTACGGTGCTGGTCAATGGATACCGTCACGGCTCCATTATCGTGGGCTGGAACTCGGCGACACGGCCAGCCCAGCAAGACGCCTCGCTGCCCTGCTTCGGGTACTACATCGACGGACGCACCGGCGGCGTGTTCCTGTGTTACAACTACACCAAGTCCTTCAAGGGACTCTCGCTGCGCGTCAACGCAGGGGACGAGTTGGTTACGTGCGCCAATTACCGAGACCACCGCATCAATTTCGAGGTGAGGCGAGGCGGCATCACAGTGGGCGAGACGAAGTTCGACACGGAGCGCGAAGTGATCGGGCTGCCGTTCTACGCCGTGGAGTACAGCGATGACGCCACGTTGGACCTGAATTCGTTCCGTCCAGGCCCACAGACACTTTCGGTGCCGCGGTTGTATGAGAGCATTTTGCAGTCCCCTTACGAGCAAGACACCGTCGCGCCGCAGTCGTACGACTTCTACGCGGAACTCAACATTTTTGCGCAGACCGCTCTCGACGTGCGCACCAGTGCCGACCTCGTCTCTTGTTTGACAAGTGAATCCACTGTCGCGAGCCACGAGCTAGCTAGTTACACGCAGGTTTCCTCCGTTCTCGCCGCGGGTGCGTTTGTAGACAAGATCTCTCTTTTACCTCTGAAGCCGTATCTTGTGCGCCTCAAGAAGCTAGACGAGCTGACGGCCGAATTTGCGCCGCTCATCAACCTGCGCCGGCGGACGGAGCTTTTTGACATTTTTGGAGTTCTCAAAAACCTTTGCTCGCGTGCGACAGAGGAGCAGATTCAGACGCGCATCATGACCCCCTTTCAGCATCGCCAAGGCAAGAAGGTGTCTGTGACCATCCACACGATGCAGGCGCAGCCGACAAGCACCACCGGCGCGTTCCCCACGCTGATGCGCTCCGTCTTTGGCCAATTGTACCTCCAACTGCAGCAGGCCACCATTGACACCTTCTTCGTGTCGCCCATCTTCACCGTGAAGCTCGCCGGCTTTGGTTCGACCGACGCTGGCGGCCCCTACCGCGATGTCCTCTCTCAGCTCGCCACGGAGATCATGACGACGCACCCGAGTAGACAGTGTCAACTGAATCCGCTTTTCGTGAACTGCGGACGCGGCGACGCCACCGCGATTATGCCGAACGTCGCTCTTCTGAGCAGCGCGCAAACTTCTCTGATGCTGGAATTTTTTGGCAAGCTGCTGGCCTCGTTCTTTTTGACACAAGACCTGCTGGCGGTTGAACTGCCGCCGCTCTTCTGGAAGCTGCTTCTCGGCGAGGAGGCAACCATCAAGGATCTCGCCACGCTGGACTCCGACATTGCAAAGCTTCTGCAGCCGGAAGAGCTGATGATGCGCACACAAGAGGAGCTGGACGAGCGTTTCCCTGGAATTACGCAGATGTGGCAGGTGATCGTCGAGGACAATCAGCAGTTTCTGCTTGACGACAACCTACCGCCGGAGACGGAGGATGGCGCGCGACTGCTCTCCCGCCGCATTGTGGCGAGCGAAATTGAGCGCTTCACGGCGGCGATCGGCTACATCCAGCAGGGATTTGATCAGGTACTCCCGCTGTACACGCTGCAGGCGTATCGGTGGCAGAAGGTGGAGCTACTCATCTGCGGCACACCAAAGCTTACCTGTGCCGACTTCCGCAACGAGTGCGACATACAGCTCAATACCCCGGACGCCACCATGTTCCTGGCGGTGCTGGAGGGCATGACCGATGAAGACCGCACATCGCTGCTGCGCTTCACAACCGGCCAGTCGCGGCTGCCGCTCAAGACAAAGATCAAAGTGACACACAACGGCAACAAGGATACGTTGCCCACCAGCAGTACATGCTTTTTTGCTCTGCGTCTGCCGTCTTACTCGTCTGCAGAAAAGATGAAGGAGCGTCTCCTCTACGCCGTTCGCCAGTGCAAGGCCATTGACGCGGACGGTCAGGCGCGTGAGCACCTCATTCTCGATTAGCTGTGAAAACACCAACTGCTTCTATTTACTCCTGTTTATTCGAACGCTATTTTTTGTTGTTGTTTGTTTGACTCTTCGATCGACTTTTTCGCCGTGAATTTATGCTGTTTCCATCTTCTTCTTCTTTCACGTCTGTTGTCTCTTTAACCGTAACGTCGATTGACGTAACCCGGTTGGCGGAAAGCTTTTGTTTTAAACCGTGAAGCGCAGTATTCTCCTACTTTTGTTTTATTCCATTTGAACCTCTTTGTGTTGCCTGTATTTCTGTTTCTTAGAAGCAAACGGCTCGTGTTGTGCTTGCGTTGTAGCAGGAACGTCGCGTTTCTGTCTTTACCCACCGTCATCATTTCTTGTACAAGAAGAATCATGCAAAAACCCACAACCGCCACATTGGCCGAGTACACGTGGAGGCAATAAGGCACGACGATATCGCTCATGTTGCTGTTTGCCAACGCAACAGAAGGCGATGGTTTAACAAGCAAGGAGATGAATTTGACTGGCACGTAGATCCAGGACGGGGTGTTTGTTATTCCTTCACTGGATACGCGTTGTTGACAGTCGGTCGCGCCAAGTGGTGAGGCGCTTCGATAATACGTGGTCATCCTTTTGTTTTTTTTCTCTCCTCAACAAAAGGTTCGGTCCTGAGAGGGCCCAATAGATCACTTCCATGGACAGTACATACGCTCCTTCCTCCCTCACTTGCTGTCCCCTGACTTTACACTAACTTGTTCTCGACACAAACTCAGGTACTTTCTTTTGTAAACTTATCTTACGTCGCTTTCCGTTTTCCCCTTCACCATGTCCATCTTCGAAAAGATGCTGAGTGGGAAGTCGTTCTCGATAAGCCCGGCAAACTTTGCGCCTGCTCAGGAGGTGGTGGATCGCTGCTTCCGTCTGCTTCACGGCGTGAACAGCTCTACCAGTCTCGCCATGGCACGGGAACGCTTCGCGGAGCTGATTCAGAAACCAATCGACAAATCGGTAACTATCTTCCCTCCAATCCAAACCAACTTCGGTAAACACATTTTTCTGGGGAAGAACATCGTCATCAATCACGGGTGCTCGTTCCTTGATATGGGAGGCATTTACATCGAAGACAACGTTCTCATCGCACCAAAGGTGAACCTCCTCACCGAGGGACACCCTCTAGACCCCTCGATCCGCAGCAGCACGCTGATTCCTGGCAAGATCGTCGTGAAGGAAGGTGCGTGGATTGGCGCCGCGTCGACGGTGTTGCCTGGTGTGACTGTTGGACGCAACTCAATCGTGGCCGCTGGGTCTGTGGTAACGAAGAACGTGGATGACAACACGATTGTTGCCGGCGCTCCAGCCAGAGTGATTAAGCGCATTCCAGAAAAACCGTCCAAACTGTAATCGTCCTCATCAAATGTGTGTATAAACTTTCATCTCATGTTCTTGTGTGTGTGCATGTGTGCTACTGTTAAAGCCTCCAGCACAGCTTCTGTTTTCTCCCTTTCTTTTCATTTTGTTTCTCGCGAGCGTGACTCCAATCTAGACTTTCAAAAACGAAGTGAAATGTGCTACGTACGGTTGTCATCGCTGAAGCTATATCGTAAAGACGCCAGTATTCTTTCTTTTCGCTTTCTAATAAAAAAGGGGCGCATCCTGCGGCACAGGCAAACGGTTGTTCTCGTTACTGTTGGTGTCGCTATTGGTGTTGGGTGCCGTTTCCTCAGCGCAATGCTGCTACTTCGAAAGCCAAAAAAAATAGTAATAATAAAGAAACTATCTTACAGTATTATAGTGGTGCAGCAATGCGGATGAACCTCATGACATCGTGACGGGGCGTTGCAACGGTGAGTGTGTTGTGGCAGCTGGCCAGCTGCATGCTGCTCCTCTATTTCTTTCTTGGGAACGCGAAATCTCAGCTGTTCCGTTCTTACTATTACCATGCAGTTTTTCTCACGCGCGCTTCACCATGGATTCTCGTTTCTGCTATCCACGTCGGTTTTCTCTGATCTTGTTTCTTCGTAGCTTCTCGTTGCCGCCGGAGGGAGGCTCCGTCATCGTTCACACCTTTCCACCCCGTCCACTAACAGAAAGGACACACACATAAATGATGGTTCAACAACACGTGAACTACGCGTGGCATGTGGCGAATTTTAACGAAGCCCTTTCCGACAGCGCTGCAGATGCCGATGCTCGTGCGTCACTGTCGCGCCTGCATTTCGACAGGTTGGCGCAAGTGATGAGTTTCATGGGCCAGCAGTCCATAGCCCGACATTTCAGAACACTTGCCTCCGTGAGTCCACAGACAAGGTTGGATGCGGAGATGCTCATGAGGCGGCCTGAACTGTGTGAGGATGCGAAGAGAGCGCGAGTGGAAGGCAACCGTCTGATGTTAGGGATTTCGGCAACAGAGCGAACCAGAGCGCGGGTGCGGTTTGCGCAGTCGCTGTGGTGGGCAACTCGGTGCGGATTACCACTTCTTCTCAACGTCGACAACTCACACGGGGATATCCTGATGCTTCTGACGGAGTGTTTGAGACTCCGTGTGACGGCATTGCGCATCCAACTGACCTCCAAAACCGCCTGCCAGCGAGGTACTTCGTCGATGTGCGACGGAAGCTGTGGAAGCTACGTCTGCGCGCTTCCGACATTTTCAAACTTGGAGAAGCTTTCGTTGGTTTGCAAAGCGACTATGGATCAGAGTCTACTGACTGCTGCTGTGAATCGCGCTCTCCGTGTGGCAGCGAAGTTGCCGGTCAGCGTCGTGGAGCTGGATGGCTTTGTACAGCTGGAAGATTTTTCTGCGCTGGCGGGCTCAGAGCACTTGTGCCACCTGACGGCCAAGCACTGTGGAATACGATCGGTGGCCGATCTTGTGAGCTGTCCAATGATGTCCGTCCTAAACGTTTCCAACAACCAGCACCTGCAAAGTCTTACGGGTCTTTCAGGCGCACCGCGTCTCGAGCAAATCTACGCACGCAGCTGCAATTTGCAGAACTTAAATGATCTGGGCAGCTGTCCTCATCTCAGCAAACTTGATGTAACGAGCAACAGCTCTTTGAAAGACTTCGCAGGTCTCGCTGGTGCACCGTGTCTGGAGAAGCTCATTGCAAGTTGCTGTGGGCTTCGAAGTGTAAGCGGACTCAACATGTGCCCGTGGCTCAGCGTACTCGATGTGAGCTACAACAGACATCTACACGACCTCCGCGGCCTCTCTGGCGCGCCGTGCCTTCATCTTCTTTCCGTCAGCGGATGCGAACTGAATGATCTTCACGGCCTTAACATTTGCTCGCGACTCAGTAAACTGAACGTGTCCAGCAACAAGACTTTGAAGGACCTGATCGGGCTTGCTGGCGCCGCGTCTTCGAAACATTAGTGCGGTGAGCTGTGGACTGCGTGGCGTGAACGGTCTCAGCAGCTGCCCGCTTCTTGTTGAGCTCAATGTACCTTGCAACGCTTCTTTGGAAGATCTCAGCGGTCTTGCAGGCGCACCGTGTCTTGAGAAAGTCGCTGCGTGGAACTGTGGACTTCGCAGTGTCGACGGCCTGAACAGCTGCCCACGACTTCCTGAACTTGAACTGTCTGGTAACCCGTGCTTAAAAGACCTCCGTTACCTTGCCAGACCCACCGGCCTAAAAGCGGGTGGCTGTGCCTGATTCAAAAGAAACAGACATCCGTTTCTTCGACCGCTCAATAACTGTCATGTAATAGACAAGGACGTGTTCACAGAGAACAGCAACCGCCGAGTTCACCTTCTCCTTGAAGTAATTTCTTTTTTTTTTCTCTGAGAGTTCTAATCTTCGTTTCATCAAGTTGTCGCCCAGATGTGCGAGTTGGTGAGAACGATTCCCCCTTTTCTTTTTTGATGTCTTCAACAGTATCAAAAGCATAAAATGCTAATACGTTGGATACGCAGCGCTGTTTTGCGTTCTTCGCAAAGCGCGGTTTTTCTTTCGGAGAACGCGTCGCCGCACTGCCACAGTGGACAATGATATTTTACTACCGCGCGCTGCACCTGTCCGCTCTCAGAAAGCTTGTCAAGAAAACCGTGAGTTGCGGGTGATGTGTTCTTCGTGTTTTGTGTTTCACTAATTACCTGGAGTTTCCCCGGGGTTTCCCAGCAATTTTTAAACTGGCGAAATCTCTTCTAACTTATTTAAAGGGAACGATATATGTCTATATTTTCTGTCTTCGCAACTTGCTTCTGCGCACATGCAGACTGCGTTCAAATATTACAATGCGTACAAGTACTCTTTTGGTGGTGTTCTATCGCCCCGTCTCGGACTGTCTAAAAAGAGATGAGTGAGCGTGTTGAATTCTTGCGGGTACAAAAACCTCCGCTATTCTCTTCGACTTGGCCGTCTCTTCCTTCTGTAGTCTCTTTTTTGTGTTGGTATTGACTGTAGGTAATTTTGTTCTGCAACTCGCTGTAAAGCTGGAAGCCGTGCAGGTGACAGAAACAGTTCCGTAAGCACCATGCGGAGGGGCAGCGGTGAACTTTCGGATGTCAGCGGTGACGAGGTGGTGGTCGCACCGCCGTCCTCACATTCCGATCCGTTTTAGCGTCTCCGTAGTGGCCTTGCAGCGCCGGTGTCGCCGCCCTCGCTCAAACGCACTCCCGCTGCGCACAACAGATGCTCCGCAAGAGGACGCATTTGCTACGCGAAGCTTGTCACCATGGCAGTTACTTTTTTAATTATGATATGCATCCTTCATAACTCGTTTGGAAGCACCATCACAGTTTGAAACGTAAAGATTGTGCCCGTGCAGCCCGTGCAGGTGGAGTCAGGGAAGGCGGAACCCCTCTGCTCTTATTATGCCGCTCGTCGGGAAGCCGCTGAGCAGCGGCACAGGAGTAGAGCTGTTGCGTGAGCTGCTGTTGGCGGAGGCGGTGACGGTGGTGGCGCACGCGGTGGAAGACGGCGGTGCGATTTACGGCACGGAGCCGGCAGAGACGCTGGAGGTGCTGGTGGACGCCGGTCTGCGGACGCGCGGCGGGGGTGCGGGGACGCACTTGGTGGTGCTGCCGTCCTTCTTGAGCGCGTCGAGGATGGCGTACACGGAGCCGGACGATGCGTCGGAGGCGCGGCGCGCGGGAACGGGGCTGTTGGATGCGCTGCTGCGGACGGCGACGACGCGCAACGGCGGTCGTGTGGCGGCGGCGCAGTGCACCATCCTGGCGACGGCGGAGCAGCCCGGCTCGCCTTCCCTCTTTCCGCCCGGCTCGGTACCAGCGGAGCTGTCGCGGCACGATCTGCAACGCCTGCTGGTGCTGGAAAAGGCGGCCATTGTGGGGAGCACCAACGATGACATGATGCTGCTGCCTTTTCTGGTGCGGCGGTTTAGTGGGTACCTCGCCACGGATCAACGCGCCTCGTGGGAGGAGGTGGTGGACGCGGTGTCGCTGAACTGCGGTATTTATCTACCATCCCCTTTTGTGGCACCACACTTTTTCACCGCTAGGCAGCTCTCAGCAACTGGGACTAGATAATAACTCACAGTACCGGGAGAGCAGAGTTGCTCGATGATCGTACGGCTCTGAGCCGCTGACTGATGACGTGGCAAAGAAAAGGGCAGCGCTGTCGTTGTAGCACCGAGCCAATCGCGCTCAACAGCCGTTGTAGATGACAACCACAGCGCATCTGTGGGTTCGAAGCGCTGCCTCACTTCATTCCCTTTTGCGAAGCGCACGCATCGGTGGAAGCACCTGGAAACAGAAATTGTTCAGCTACGATGCCGCTTGAGAAGCAACGCGGTGCGCTACGTGCATCACCTGCGATCTAAGCACTCTTGAAAACAGTTTGCTGAAAGGGCCAAATGCACAGAAGACAAGACGAAAAGAGACGAATATTGAACAAGAGAAGAGTGGGGAGACCACATTTCAGAAATAAGAATGACGAGAGCGGTGGCATTACCGGAATACAGCAGCACCAATCTCTGTTCTTTACACGTACTCAGATTGCAGATGGAAAGTCACCGCACGGCACTATTTCCTTGCAGTACGAACTTGCTACGTTTCTTGCGCACTTGAGAAAGCGTCTTGCATCACCTTAGTTCCACCTTATCAAGTTCGACACTCTCTGGGGTTGATTTTGCTATTGTTTCAATTCAGAAACCTTGTACGTAAAATGGGCAACAAAGCAAAGGACAAACGAACGCAAACGTGGGGCTTTGCGTAGCGGGCAGCAAAAAAGAAACGTTCTTCTCCCTGTCACTGCCCACCGACGCATACAAAAAGAATAAGGGGGTAGTTTTCACTGAGATGGAGTTTTGTCATATTACGTGATTCAGAAGCAACAGCCCAAAGAGCACAACACTCCGAAACGCTTTTAACCGCGAAAAGAAAAAGAGAGGGTACAATATCGAAAGCATCAAAAACAAAAAGGATCTCAAAACAAAGAGGAGCTGGCAGAAGAAAAAAAGTTTTGAAGCACCACATGCTCAGTTACGAGTGCTGCAACATCACTGCGTCGGCTCAGCTATGCCTCTAGGAGGAAAACGAAAAATACTGTCGGAATCAAGGCGAAAAGCTTGAGAGTGCTGCCAAGACGTTGTGCACGACACTGCGGTCCCTCAAAAAGAAAGTTCTTGCGAACTGCGGAGACTACCCGGGCTTCTTCTGTTTATCAACATTGCGCATGCAGTTGCGCTTTTTTAAAACACACCTTCGCGATGAAAGCCACAGTTTTGCTCGAAAGCTACGCGGGCATCAACTTGAAAAAAAAAGGAGGGAAACACGCGTAGAAAGCACTGTACACGTGCAGATGATGCAGGCAATAAGACTTAGTAGAAAGACATGACAGCGCATGGGGTGGTTGACCGCAGAGCGTCCTGATCAGAGCGATTCACTAGAAGACGAAGAGAAGGAAAAATAACTACGTACCAGTAGGAGGAAGGGATCTAGACCGTTCTCAGTGTCCCCAAATTGGACCGCTACGGAGGAATCGAGAAAATGAGTGTCTTGCACGTCTGTATCACGCACATCTATACGCTTCAGACTGGTGGACCTTGAAAGATCACTGATGTCCTCCAAGTGCTCGTTTCCCCTCAGATCGAGGTTGTTGAGACGTGGGCAGCGGCCCAGACCATTTACGCTGCGAATATCACACTCCCCTGCCGAAATCTGCTCCAGAGAGGGCGCACCAGCAAGGCTGCTCAGGTCCACCAAGGTTTTGTTTTTAGAGAGATCGATCTCGCGGAGTAGCGGGCAGGTGTTCAGCCCATTGAGGGTGCGCACTCCACAGCC